CTATCTATCTATCTATCTATCTATCTATCTATCTATCTATCTATCTATCTATCTATCATCTATCTATCCATCCATCTATCTATCATCTATCTATCTATCTATCTATCTATCATCTATCTATCTATCTATCTATCTATCAATCAATCATCTATCTATCCATCTATCTATCTATCTATTTATCTATCATCTATCATCTACCTATCATATATCTAGACGGATACACATTGCTTGTTTCTATCTATTTACTATCCACTTAATTTTGAAAACATATACAAGAGACTAAATAAAGCTTATGTCCATAATTTACTAAACTAGTACCTAACAAGACTACAAGTAAGATTATTTATAGATGATTACTAACTTGCAATTCTAATTATCCTAAACAGTTTGCAATAGTAGCTTTCATAAGACCAGAACTTTACATTACGTTTTTAAATGAATTACATATGTACAAAATATTAAGCAAGAGTTGAACAAAATAACCTTAAATTTCTACCAGTAATTTCTATGAATATATAATAATCCATACTAATGTAAAATATTTGAGTCGAGTAGGTTCAGTTTTCTACCTTTTATCATCCTATATCACCTACTCCTTTTTATTTTTTTATTTGTTTATTTTTTATTTTATTTTTATTTTTACCCACTCCTTTTTAAAATATACTTTTATCATTCCCATTCCCCCTAATAGGGAAAGGCCTTGGGGTACCTAGCCTCAGGAACTGAGTGGTCTGTGTCTGCCTCGGACCCCTAGGTTGTGTTCCTAGCTCTTCATTTGCGAGAGCTAACAGGTGACCTTCAGGGAGTGGTTGAGCAGTCTATCCAGGAATGGGGTGGGATAGCATCTAGCTTCCCCACAAGACCCTTTACCAGGACAGGGCAAGCATTACCCTTGGACATGAATAGTCTTTATAGGTCAGTCCTCTGGCTTGGTGCCACCTCTCCTTTGGGAGACCTTGAACTCTGAAATTTTACTTTTCTTCTTTTCCTAATATTTTTAGGAAGAACAGAAAATACCGAAGGCAAAGGAACCCCCAAACTAAAGGTGAGTCTGTAGTATCTGTGATCACATGCGGCAACTCTCAGCAAGAACAGGTGCTTCCCTATGGGTAACTATCCATTCTTCCATCATCCTGGGCCTGGACCCTAGGACTGCTTCTCAGAACTTGCTGCACCAAGTGGCTCTATCATTGCAGGTGTGGGCAAGGCATCCTCAAAACCCATTTGAGGCGGGTACTTACAGTGTACAGTGTCAGCAAGACTGATCAGGCTGCTTCTCTGTTTCCACAGGGAACGTGGTCTGGGTGGTCTAAGTTGCCAGAGCCTGGAGAGTAGCAGGGTGTCTGCTTAGAGTGGCAGGGTCACTTGTGTGGTCTGGTGTGGTTGATGCTGATGTTGTCTTTGTAGCTAAAGTGGAAGTGCAAGAAGGAGGATGAGTCCCAAGGTGGCTACTCCAGAGATGTCCTCCTGAGACTTCTACAAAAGGTATGCTCCAGGGACATCTGCCACCTCTTGTCTCTCAGCCCAGAGAGCCCAAATGCCCTGAACTTCACCTTTTCTTGCTTGTCTCATAACCCCGGATAAATCTAGAGACTCCCATCATTTGAGTAATTATATGCCCCCCGGTCCTCTCTCCTTCCCTGCCTAAGCCTAGCCCTTTCCTTGAAGCACAAGCCTTAGCTGGCTGTGCTGGGGGAGAGGCGGTATCTGTCAGGCATGAAACTCCCTCTGCATTTCTGCTTTCAGAAGCTGAGACCGCTGTGCTATGTGCTAGCCTAGGTCTCAGTGCCCTGCCCATCTCACCTTTGCTGTCCTGTGTACCATGGGAAAGGAAAACAACTTATTTTCCTCTCCAATCTTGCTCCTCTGGGTCCCTAGAAATAACTCCCAAGGTTAGGCTGTAGCCTAATGGCCTATGCTGTGTGTCCAGTTATACTTACTGACGTTTCTCTTGTTCCCACAGTATGGGGAGGTTCTCAACCTGGTACTTTCCAGAAAGAAGGCGGGCAACGCCATAGTGGAGTTTGCAACTGTCAGGGCTGCGGTGAGTGCTGTATGGGGTTTGGGGGATGCTGGCAGTCCTGTCAACTTCATGGGTCCTCCTAATTGGGTGGCCCACACTGCTAGTGGATCTTTAGGCCAGCTCAAGAGTTGAACCTTCCAAAAGGTCTCCTGGTTTCAAGATTGGATGGGGAAATGCTCGGCCTGTTTTACTCTGGCCAGCTCCACGTTGCACCTTCCAGGCTCCACCACCATGGCATCCCCCCTACCCCCCGAATGTTCTTGTGTGTGTCTTCAAATCAGAAGGTGCATGTCCTCCACTCTCCCACAAGGGTCAGAACTGGAGCACACCACTGTTTGCAGGTTGCTGAGGTTGCCCAGCTCTGCTTGGAGGGTTAGAATATTGGTTTTAGTCTTTGTGTGGGCTAGAAAGAGCCCCTTAGACCTGGATTGGATGGGACAGAGACTGGATACTCTGTTTGGCAGGAGCTGGCTGTCAGAAATGAAGTGGGCCTGGCTGACAACCCTCTGAAGGTTTCCTGGTTGGAGGGACAACCCAAGGGCACAGTAGACCCCAGCCCCCCAGGACTGTCGAAGGTAAAAAGCCAGGAGTCACCCAGCTGGGTCTGCTTGGGGTTTGGGAACCTCTTTTGCTCCACTCTCATGCTCTCCCCAAGTCTGGATAAGAGTAGAATGGAGTGGGGTAGGGGTGGGTTCACCAGATCAGGCAGGAGGCTGGCTCCCTGTTCATGCCTTTTCTCTCTGAGTACCATAGGACCCTAGCCTACGTTATTTCTTTTCTTTTCTCTCCTCTTCCTCCTCCTCCTCCCCCTCTTCCTCCTCTTCCTTCTCCTCCCTTTCCTTCTCTTCCTCTTCTTCTTCCTCCTCTTCCTCCTCTTCCTCCTCCTCCTCCTCCTCCTCCTCCTCCTCCTCCTCCTCCTTCTTCTTCTTCTTCTTCTTCTTCTTCCTCTCTCTCTCTCTCTCTCTCTCTCTCTCTCTCTCTCTCTCTGGGGTCAAACCCAGGGTCTTGCTCATAATTAACCCACACTCTTACTACTGAAGTAACTCACCTCCAAGGCTACATGAAAGTTGGCCTTTGTTTACCCTTCATGTGTGTCTCCTGTTGGAGTCAACCTACCAAGAGGGCTTATGTTTGTTCTTGGTCATGCTGTGAAGGATTTTAGTTTAGGAACCCAGTGTTGGGTGGAGAGGCAGAAGGCAGGCAACTAGTTCAATGGTGTCTTCCCACTGTTTCTGTTTTCCAGCTTGGTTTCCAGCTTCCCACTCACAAACTGACTCTAGGAAATAACATCAAGGCCCATGTTGAGACTGGGGTGCTATATCTGGTAGCCCACTTGTAGTCAAGTGCTAACTTCCTAGTGACTCTGGGCCTGGGGCTACCTCACAGTCATTAGAACACCAGGACTTATTCACTGTATCCTTGTTTTTTTTGTTGTTGTTGTTTTGTTGTTGTTGTTGTTGTTTTGTTTTTGTTTTTGTTTTTTTAGCCTGACTGCAGAGGTTGGGGCCTGGGCTCCTGTTGGAGGGATGATTGCTTTGGGGACAGGAGCTTTTCCCTTCTCTGAAATAGCCTGGGTACCTGTCCACATGTCCATAGCTTCTCAGAGATTTATCAGGATGCCTACCTGAGAGATTGGAACCTTTGGGGGAGTGTGTCAGTCTTGGTTACTTTTCTATTGCTGTGACAGTTTGGTCACTAGGACCAAGGTGACTTTGAAAGCATTTAATTTGGGGGCTCATAGTTCCAGAAGGTTGTAAAGTCCATGACCATTACAGTAGGAAGCATGGCAGCAGGCAGGTAGGCAGGACACTAGAACAGTAGCTGAGAGCTTACATGCTGAAGTAAGAACGACAGGGCAGGGAGAGAGCTGACTGAAACTTCAGAGCCTGGCCTCAGTGACACACCTCCTCTCACAAGGCTCCCCGTGCTGAGCCTTCCCAAATAGTTCCACCAACAGGGGACCAGGCATACAAACATATGAGTCTATGGCGACCATTCTCATTCAGTGTCCCAGGTCCTGGTGGAAGAGGACCATGAAGTGGTGGAGGTTAGCTCAGAATCCTGTAGCTGTCTTTGCTACTTTTTGAGTTCTTCCTTCCATCCTTCTGAAGGGGTGATATTTAGAAAACAGCACTGGTCTGGCTTGTTTCCGGGCAGCCGCCATGATCTCACTGTTCTTTGGCTCTGACTGGGGCTCCAGCTAGCTAGATGCACAGACCCTGGCATCCATGAGATGCCAGTGTGGGGGAAGGCTCTGCCAATCCTCCACGATGCATCCACAAAGCTTGGCTGAACCCCAAACAATAGCTGCCATCCTCACAGTATCCGGTAGAAATGAGATCTTAATATTTTTTTGTTTGTTTTTGTTTTTTTGGTTTTCAAGAAAGGGTTTCTCTGTATAGCCCTGGCTGTCCTAGAACTCATTCTATAGACCAGGCTGGCCTCGAACTCAGAAATCCACCTGCCTCTGCCTCTGCCTCCCAAGTGCAGAGACTCTTAAGACTTAATGCTTGTCTAAAGGATTTATATATTTAGAAATGTTCAATCAACAAGATGCTCACACAATTAGAGTTGTTATCCAATATCTAACATTTTGATATAAGTTTCTACCCGTGACAGCTTTCCACCCATCCATGGTTCTCCATGGCTGATAGCTTCCTTTTTCTCCTCCCCTTCCTCTATTTCTCCCCTCCCCTTCCTCTCTTCTTCTCCCAGCTCCACCTCCTCTTCAACTGCCTAATCACCGAGCTCCACTGGGAATACAATGTAGCAGAATAAATATCCTGCTACATCTTTCTCCAGCCCTTTTGTTTCACCCTTTCAACCCACTAACACTAAATAGAGAAAAAAAGGAAAGAAATCCCTGATTAGGGGCAACAAGAAACTTCATCAGTGAGGATAGCTCATCTCTTCTCGTTACTGTTTCTTCTTTGTGCACGACTGCTTAATAAACCACCCTGCCTCTCAGGTCCCTAGCATTTATATACTCTCTTAAAAGGCCCCAGAATTCCAAATGTCACACAATTGCAGAAACTGCATCTGGCAAAACCTCACCCCTGCTAGAGCAGGAGGCAAATCATAGTCAGTGGCTGTGGACAATCTGGAGCAGCCCCATATCACATGTGCGATTAAAATGAAAACATAGTCATAGTTCTGTGTGTGTGTGTGTTTTTTTTTGTTTTTGTTTTTTTTTTTTGTTTTAAAGAAACCAAAGTTCTCACTACAAGATCCTGGCTTAAAAGATACCTCATTCCCCACTAGTAAGTTTCAGCATTTCACATCCAAAACCATACTCTATAGTAGTATTAGAAAAACCTTTATTGGTTGCCTCCTGTTTCCAGAGGAGGCTTGAAGCTGGGCACCTCTGCTCAGGAGCGGGAAAGAGAGATGTCACAGATGTAGATTTGTGAGGCAATGTGTGTCACAGCTTTACCCTTCTTTCACACTTGAGTGGCCTAGAGGCCAGACCACATGGTCCAGTGCTTCTGGGCTCTGAGTTCAGATCTGACCAAGCCACAAGGCAGAGTAGTAGCACAGTTTGTAGCTTTGGCCTGTTCTGGGCAAGGCAGAGCCCCCAGGCCTGGTGAAGGACTGTGGAGCCTCTTGGTGGTGCACTGTCCTTTCCCTGATCCAGTTAACCCCTCTTCTGTTTCTGCAGCCTTTCCCAGAGGCTCCCATCACAATGCCTACGGAAGTTCCCAGAGCACTCCTTTGCAACTGCTGGTTCTGGGAGCTTCTTCCTCGGGCACTGGGATCACTCGCAGATCTGTGGGCAGCTTGAGTCTTGTGCTCTGTTTCCTAATGATGTTGGGCCTTTCCCTTGCAGTTTCCTCTGACTACCTCTCCTGCTCTGGCAGCCCAGGGCTGGCATCTTTCCTTCCTTACCCATGCTTCTGACACTGTGTCTGGCCAGTACCATCCAGTGAGCTTTGGTTTAACAGTGTCAGTGTCCTCCAGTACAGTAGCCATCAGTCAGGTGTGGCTGTTGATTTAAAATGTGGTTAAATGGGCTGGAGAGATAGCTCAGCAAACACATACTGCTCTTCTAGAGGCCCCGAGTTCAATTCCTATCACCCACATCAGGTGGCTCACACCTGCCTGCAACTCTAGCTCCAGGGGCATTCACACTTTTGCTTTCTGCAGTTATCTGCATATACTTGTGTGCATGCACACACACACAATCATTTTTAAAAACATCTTTAAAATGTGGCTAGAGGGCTGACATCTGGCTCGTTTTGGTAGAGTACTTGCTTAGCATACATGAAGCCCTGGATTTAATCCCCAGTGCCACATAAAAAACCTGGGTGTGATGACACACATATGTAACCCCAGCACCCCGGGTGGAGGTGAGAGGATCAGAAGTTCAAGGCCACTCTCACTGCATGAGACCTTGTCTCAAAAACAAAAATTGGCTAGGATGAAAAGTAACTGAATTTTTGTTTGTGTCTATATGGTATATATGTATGAGTGTGTGTGTGTGTGTGTGTGTATGAATGTGTGTGAGTGTGTGTAAGTGGAGGTCACAGGCTGATCTCCGATGTCTTTCTCAATTGTTCTCCATGTTTTATTGACTGAAGCAGGCTCTCTTGCTGGGCCTGGACTGTGCCGATTTGGTTATATAACCAGCCAGCTGCCCCTGGGATCCCTAGTTTGTACATCCTGAGTACCAGAATTCCAGATGGGCTAGCACCCCGCCCACCTTTTTTACGTGGGTACTGGAGATCTAAACTCATGCCCTCCTGCTTGCATAGCAAGCACCATATCCATGGAGCCATCCCCCAGCCTCTGGAGCTGACTTTTCCATTTGCTTTTCCTTCATTAACAGTCCTGCACAGTAAGTGGTGACTTGTCTGTTCCTGTCTCTCCGACCTCCCCACTTTCCTTTCATCTCAGTTAGACTACATCTTCCTCGAATGTCCTGTGACTTCTCTGTTGACTCTGGTCTTTACAGGATGGTGCATGCCACCATCTGCTCTGCCCAGTCTGAGTCCTACTCTGTGGCTCGCCCCTGTGCCACCCTGTCTCTCCACTGACCTCTGACTGGTTCCTGTGGTTGCAGGTTGTGGCTTCCTTTTCCTGGCCTCTCCCGCTTCCTTCAGTGCTCCTGCCAGAAAGTGACTCCCATATATTCCCGTCTGGCTTTGTCCCTTCACTCTGGGTGACTTGAAGGACTAGTCAGCAGCCAGAGGGCAGGGAGAACTGTGACTTCCGGTCCCCACTTGTTCCTTAGTCCACACTGTACCTTCCTTCCCTGGGTCCCACAGCCTTCACTCCAGTCATCCCAGTTCTCGATATCCTCACCAGGTCAGAAGTGGGGCTCGCTTGGGAATTGTTCCTTTAGTATCTGTAGAACTTCTTCCAGAAGTGAAAGCCCCAGGTCCACTTTGAAGGAGAAAAAAGGGTCACTGAGGTCCGGAGTAGGTGTCCTTGGGAAATGGGGAGTGTCCAAAAGGCCCTCTTGTGAGCACTGGTGGAGGGGCCCCGTCAGGGAGATTGCTGAAGGCAGAGTGGATGAGTAGCCAGCTGCGTAGGTTGCTGGGGGCTCCAGAATGTTGGGGCAGCTGGAGCTCTCTCGGTAGAGGCGTGGGGGCTTGGGTGGGGCCAGTAGTGTGGCTCGGGGATGCTCATCCCCCCACAAGGGTAGACGACGGCCGTCAGGCCTCCCTTGCAGTTCCCGGATGACTTCCCGGTTGCTGTACTCCTCGTGGTCACCACCAGCAGTGCTGGCTTGGCTAAGTATGCTGCCCTGTCGCTGCAGTCTCCGTGGCCGCCCCAGGGTGATTCGCTTGAAAAAGGAGGCATTGCGGAAGGAGCCTTTCCTCCAAGTCTCCATGGAGCTCCTGAGAGTCATCTAGTGGGTCTGGCATCTGAGAAGCCCCACAAAGGGGCTCAGCAGCAGCAGGTGACCTTTTTGCTAGAGTACTGAATGCCAGGAACCAGAGGGACACACTTCAAGGGCTAGCAGCAGAGGCTGTGCGTTTCTGCTCAGATGGTTTGTTGTTTGCATGCGTCTTGGGTGGCTAGACAAGACTGGCAGGAGATGAGAGAGAGCACTGCGAGCCCCCAACTGGAGAGCCCGGTTACTTGATTGGCGGCATGTGGAAAACCCCAAAGGAAGCAGCAGTACTCACGAGGCAGAATGGGAGCAGACCAAGGCTGAGGGCTGGAGGGCTGGGCAGGAACCCGCGGGGAGAGCACGTACTCCTTCCACAGGCAGGCAGCAGCTGGGTCCCTGTTCACCCTCTCTCTGGTGGTCCCCTGGCATGTGTTGATCTCCTGGCCAGTGCAGGGCTGTGCTCTCTCTGCCAGCATCTGGGGACTCTGATTAGTGGCTTGACTGTTTGTGCCAGCGTGTGGTAGAGATGTGTTTTGTTTTCAGCTGACTCAGTCAGGTGGGAAGCCAGTTTCGTGCTCTGAGGTAATTGCAGCATCCACAGGCTGGGATTGGGGCTGCTGTGACCAACACCCCAGGGCAGTAGGACGCCTCAGATTCCTCTGGGGACTGGTCTGGGGACAGCCTTGCTTGGTGTGTCACCAGGTTACTTCCTTTCTAGTCAGTGCTCCGCCATAGTGACCTCAGTAGGCCTGCCTGCCTCCCTAGTCCCAGATGTCTCTGGGAGGAGCCCAGGGAGGTAGTGCTAATTGAAAGGTAACTTTTGGAACAATTGTTAGGGAAGAAAGAGAGGAGACCTGCTGGTGTGGGTGACTCAGCCTCCAGGCTGGATGACAGGCCCTCATTAGCCAGGCCACAGGAATGGTAGAGACGGATGTGGAGGGTGTGTTAACGGGGAACAGCCCCGTGCCTGTACAGGGCTTGCACCTCCCAAGGTGCTGGGGGCATGCCAGGGGTGACTCGAAGTTTTCTTGAAAGAGCAATACAAACTTGGGAAGGAAGCACTGCCCTCCCCCACAGCTGGGACATCAGTGTGACTGCTCTGCTTCCGTCTTTCTTCACCAGCAGAAGGCTAGTGCCCTGCTGCTTCTAGGATGTTCCCAGCCAGTCCCAGCTCATGGGCCTCATTTGGGGACCCTCTTATGAGCGGGACCAGGACAGTGAGGCTGCCTTGAGTTGTCAGTGGTTGGAGGGAGGGTGGTTGGTAGTGGGTATTTCTAGTGGTGAGGGAGGTATAAGGGGAGGGCAGCCAGGCTGAATATCACTTCTTTATCTGCACCCCTTTAATACAAACAAGTTAGCCAGGGGCTGGCAGCCTAATTTCAGCCACTCCCATATTATTCTCTGGGTCATTGACTTCCAAGCCTTCTTCTGTGGGAGGGCACCAGTGTGGGGTGCCCCCTGCAGGACACCATGCTTGCAATCCCTGTCCTGGCTTGCCTTCATGCAACCCTAATGGGTTGCCATCTCTCTAATCAGCTATAGGATCACCAATGGTATCACAGCCCCAGCTGTGCTAAGGGAGGAAATCACCTGACTCAGCACTTGCTGCTCTCGACAGACCGTGGGCTTGGCAGTGCAGTGCTCTGCCATAAGGCTGCCTCCCTTCCCACAGCCTTGGCTCGTTGGTAGCCTTCCTCAGTCCCCTGCTCAGCTCACAAGACCATAAAAGAAAGCCAGGGACCCTGGGCTTTAGTAGTCTGGTCTGTGTCTTAATGAGGCAGCCTGGGCTCATGCTTGCTTTTCTCAACAGATTGGGGCTCTTTGAGACTGTGTGTGGGGCAAGGCTCCCCTTCTGTATCCTCAGCAGAAGCCAGACCATGGGGAAGTGCTCTGGACAGTGTCCAGCAGAGCCTGGGGATCCCAGCACCACAGGCATCCTCTGTTGGAAACCTGCCAGGCAGAAGCCTGGATGGAGAGAAAGAGTCAGATAAAGGGCTGAGAGGAAATGAAGGGGGAGGGCCAGGCCAGCACATGGGGAGCGATTGACAAGGACTGAACCAGAGCAGGATGTAGGAGGATGTGGTGTCTTGGGTAAAGGGAGCTTGTGGGGAGCTTCCGGGGAGCTGATGGAGAAGCAGCCTGGGGAGCATAGGCCTGCTTTCTCTGAAGGATCCTGGAGGAGTTGGAATTCAAGATGTCTGGGTCCTTCCCTTCCTTATGAGGTCACTTTTAGACTTGGCTCTGTCTTATCCCTATACTGAGTCTATAATCTGTGGGGCCGTACCTTGATGTCCTGACTCCTGTCTCTTCTGTCCCCAGGGCTCAGTGCTGTCAGAAAGGGACTATGAGAGTCTGGTCATGATGCGCATGCGCCAGGCAGCTGAGCGCCAGCAGCTGATCGCCCAGATGCAGCAGGAAGATGAAGGCCAGCCCACGTAGCCCCAGCTCCAGCCTTCCTACCCCACACCCTTTTCTGAATCATCACCAATAAACTTTTTTTTAAAAAAATAAAAATCTACTTTTCTTTCCTCTTGGGCTGGGCTCTATTTATGAGGGCTTCTTCCATGGGTGGGGATAGACAGTAGAGAATGGTTCATCTCAAGAGTCACTGCACAACAGAACTGAGGAACAACCACTTGTGAGAGCCCTTTATTGGCTTGGACTGGCTGTGTAGGATCCAGGTCCTGTCCTCAGGGTAGCTTGCCTTCAGCACGTGGCCTCCAGCAAGAGCCAGGGTCAGACCTTGCTGGGGGAAGCTGAAAGCACAAGGACCTGGGCCTGCTGGCAAAACCAACTGGAGCAAGGTTCCACAACCCATCAGTGTTGGACAAGGGAGTTGACAATTTGGAAAGAGATAGGCAGGGCAGACAGTGATGCAAGCATGTGGGCAGGGCACATGGCAGTCCCTGTGCACCAGTTAGCTCAAGCAGGTCATTCCTTGTGCAGACACCACACCAGGGTCTGGCCCACCCCTGTCATGCTTAACACTCGGAAGCCCCTAGATTCCAGCTTGTCCAGGACTATGCGAGGAGGGTCGTTGACGTAGTATTCATAACTGTAAAGAGACCAGGATAGTGTCATGAGGTGGTATGGTGCAAGCACCCATACAAAGCTAGTGTCTACTCAGTGCCAGGCCTGTTTGCTGGCCACTTGCCTGGTGACAGGCGAAGTGCACACCCTCTGTTCTGTTCCTTGCTACACTCTTGTTTTCTCGCAACAGCGTGATGAAAATACCATTACTCTTCCTGTCAACACATGTGAAAACAGGCTGGTTAGCTCCACCTGCCATGAATAGCAGGCCCCAGGGTAGCCTTGCAATGTGTTCGTTTAATTACCCACTGCTCTCTGTGGCCCCTCTCTGGCTGCCCTGCAATCCTGGAGCTGTAAATAAGGTTAGCACCTGGATCTATGTGCCATTTGCTGTCACAGAGAAAGTTTGATTTCCTTTGATTTGTAAAGAGCATAAAGCAGAAAAGGGACCCAAACCCCGAGTTTGGTGTCGTGAAGCAAATGTCTAATGGCAAGAGATGGGAGTGGCTCCTCCATGCCTTGACCAAAGGGTTGGGATCTGTTTGTTTCCTCTCTTCCCATCTAGCACTTGGGTCTCTGACAGTTCTTTTCAGAATCCCTGAACCCACTTGGCGTTTCTCCCCCAATAGCAGGAGGGTGCAGTCGTTTGAACAAGAATGGCCCTACAGGGTCATCGGAATGCTCGGTCCCTAGTTGGTGGAACTGCTTTGGAAGGGATTAGAAAGTGTGGCCTTGTTGGAGGACTGTGTCACTGAGGGTGGGCTTTTAATTTTCAAAAGGCCACCCCAGGCCCAGTGTCAGATGTCAGGTGTAAGCCCTCAGTTCCTGACCTATGCGGCCTGCCTGCTGCTGCGCTGCCTGCCATTTTGGTTATAGACTCACTCAATGCAAGCCCCTAATTAAGTGCTTTCTTTTTTAAGTTGTTTGATGGCTCCAATGAAAATAGCCCCAGAGGCTCATGTATTTGAATGCTTAGTTACTAGGGAGTGGAACTATTTGAGAGGAATTAGAACAGTGATTCACAACCTGGAGGTCATGACCCGTTGGGGGGGGAGGGGTCAAATGACCCTTTCACTAGGGTCTCATATCAGATATTTACATTAAGATTCATAACAGTAGCCGGGCGGTGGTGGCGCACGCCTTTAATCCCAGCAATTGGGAGGCAAAGGCAGGTGGATTTCTGAATTTGAGAGTTCAAGGCTAGCCTGGTCTACAGAGTGAGTTCCAGGACAGCCAGGGCTACACAGAGAAACCCTGTCTCAAAAAACCAAAAAAAAAAAAAGATTCATAACAGTAGTAAAATTACAATTATGAAATAGCAACTGGGGGCTGGAGAGATAGGTCAGTGGTTAGGAGCAGTGGCTGCTCTTCCAGAGGACCTGGGTTCAATTCTCAGCACCCACATGGCAACTTACACCTGTCTGTAGCTGTTGTTCTAGGGGACCCAACAGCCTTACGTAGACATACATGTAATCAAAACACTAATGTACATAAAATAAAGAAATAGCAACTGAATAATTTTATGGTTGGGGGTCATCACAACATGAGGAACTGTATTAAAAGTTCCCAGCAGGGTTGGAGAGATGGCTCAGTGGTTAAGAGCACTGACTGCTCTTCCAGAGGTCCTGAGTTCAATTCCCAGCAACCACATGGTGGCTCACAACCATCTGTAATGATCCAATGCCCTCTTCTGGTGTCAGTGACAGTGTGCTCATAAACATAAATCTGTTTTAAAAAATAGTCTCAGCATTAGGAAGGTTGAGAACTGGAGTAGAAGGACTGGGAGGTGTGCACTTGGAGGAGTTGAGTCATTGGGTGTGGGCTTTGAGGTTTCAAAACCAAATGCCAGGCTCTGGCTCCCTCCCTCCCTCTCTCTCTCTCTCTCTCTCTCTCTCTCTCTCTCTCTCTCTCTCTC